ATTTTGCTGGCCACAATGATGACGTTAAAGGGAGGCGCCTATAGTTAAGTTGGGTGAAACAGAAGCCATAGTCATCTCTTCCTTATCATATCAGCACCACATTTCAATCTAATTACTACGTCTCTGACAAATTATCGTTACAACATATACTTAATGGTAGAATAAATCTTGAGTACGACTTACTCTTCATCAGTAATACGGTATGAGAAGTATCCATATGTTCCACAGTCCGCCCAAGCGCAACCCACTTGTGTAGCCGAGGAGCGCATTATCTGCATATCTACCTTATTTGCAGTGGCAATGGGTCATTGTTAATAGTTCTGTTACGTTTGCATATCCTTTGAGTCCAGGATGGCCCGTATGTTTCACCTCGTTACCATTCACATCTAGTGGTTCCGTATCGATAGGAGAGAGCATAATCCGGAGTATCTCAGAAACTTTATGGGTGGCGAGGTATTCGCTAAATAGTATTTAAGAGCTTTTGAAATCAACGGTGAAAAAGAAGTTTTGTCATAAGTACTAGATAGTTTTAACGCGATGATAGCGTAGGAGTCATTGGAATATTGCAAGATATAGCAGAATAAAATGTGTAGAGGATGGAAGAGCTAGATAAGCACAGGATCATTACAGCATTTTAGAGAAGAGTGAGAAAAGCAGTTGAAATTAAGGAGAACTCTTCTTAGCGTAAAGCATTCAAATAGCGGTACAAATTTATTGACAAAGATTGGTGGACGAGGTAATCTAACGATTTAAGGTGGCTGCATGACCATAAATTATTATTGTCAGAAGTTTGAAACAGACAGTAAAATTACAAATAAGGTAGTATATTCCACAGACCAACTGCAGACAAAGGTAATAAATGAAGATGTTTGAAACCTCATCGGAAACTGTTCATCATTTTAACTTGCACTGTAACCTAGTACTCCTTCATTGCGAAAATATCCTCCTTGAATCAATTAGCAGCTAACCTATATTTACCTTATTTCCAGCAGATACTGCGCTGTTTGGACCGTACTGTTATCATTTGCAGAAGTCTTCATGCATAATTTCACAATGTTCGAGTTGAAACAAACTTGTTACAATAGTTACTTCAAATTTCATACCCACAAGATCCACGTTTGGTGGTAACACGACATGGGCAGCCTTCGGCAAATTCCATTGCTATGGTTTCGAGCTCACAGCTCCAAGTCTGAAAACCGGTAACTCTGGAATACGTATGGAGACAAAAATATTGCAAGTTAATGACTGCCTTTACTAGAATGAAATGATTCCTCTCCTTCACAGTGTGAAAGCTTGAGCGGATGATTTTATGTCTAAGCGCGGGGGAAGACAGGATAATTGTCAGTAGTTATTCTGTTGAGAGTACTGTATTTTCGCTTAATACGCATTCCCATATTCTACATCAAAGCTCCACAGATAACCAGCCAAATGAGGAAGGGTCTGAAAGTAAAAACTTACAAGTTTGTTCATGTTTTTGCCTTTAGGAACTGTCTGCACCGTAGGCCCATTGTACTGAAATCCATTAGCCAAAGTCCAACGTCGGTTATTTATCTCTGTCAAGACTTCCACGACTTCATTTTCTGTGAAGTTGCCTTTTTCGCAATAAGAATCACCTGGAATGCAACAATTCAGCTTTCGCCGAATTTTTTCAGTGATCCTCATTTTTCAGTGATCCTCGGATACAGCACGTAAATGAATCAAAACCCACATTTTTGTGTTTGCAGAATTTTGAAGCCAAAGAAGATCCTGATGATGCAATTCCAATCATTAACAGTCTTGCTTTTGGGGAAAATCTCAGTTTGGTTGTGTACACGAAGGTAACATGCTTTATGTGTTCTTATATAGAGGGTGAGATACTTCAATAATACTAATATAATACTTTATACCGCCGCTTTTACCTACAACACCTAGGGCGTATCTCTATTATGGGAAAAATCTAAGATTCCATTTGCATAGAAACTAAGCCCAAACAGAACTTCAATTTGATGCAAACGCAGAACAGAGAAGATATAAGAGTTATGATTAATTAGGAGCTTGCATGCGATAAATCGTGTCAAATACGCTAATGTCGAAATTTCCTCATTATTCTTGCAAAGTTGTTTGTGCGCAAATTTTTTGCATTGAACCTAAGTTTCTCGCCAATTTGAAAATTCCATTGTAATTTCACGGTGTTGGGACAATCCGACTGTTGGTAGAACCATTATATTAGCGATACAGATGAACTAATACCAACATTTGTTATTGCATATTCTGAATAGTTTAACCCCAACTA